GATGGATGGATGGATGGATGGTTGGATGGATGGATGGATGGATGGATTGATTTACCCTGTCTAGACTAACACATTGAAAATCAATTAGGTTTCTGGATCTGGATAATGTGATCGTGAAAGACCTTATTATATTTAACTGAGCTTATGCAGAACTTTGATTTGAAACTCTCAGATCTCTTTAATGTGCGAAGCACATCCACGTGTGCACCTGTTCGTTCGCAGAGACGCTGCGAGCCCTGTGACGGCTCCTGCCGGCACTGCGCCGGCCCCAGACCTGACCAGTGCCTGACCTGTCACGGGAGCTTCGCTCTTCACGCCGTGGAGAACCGCTGTGCCCGCTGCTGTCGGGGAGCAGGCAACGACACCGATTGCTGTGTTTGTGACAGCCGCTCAGGTGGGCGCCTGACCTCTCAGCAGCGACTCATCATTTGGGAGGAATTGTTTCAAAGCGTTTATTTACGAACTCCATATTTTTCTGTTCCAGCACTCTGTGTGGAAGCCCCGCAGCCAAAGTCCGGAGGCAGGCAGGAGACGGACATGACCACGTCCTCCGGGGCCCTGCATCACACGTCGGCCGCCCTGCCCATCGCCCTGCTGCTCGCAGCGGGTTTGGCCCTGGCCGTGTTCGCCTTGATCAAGGCCCACACCAGGAGGAGGCTCTGCTGGAGCCAGAGCTACGAGAGACTGAGCGGCAGCGCCGGCATCAGCATGCCGCACGGTGTGCCCGAGCCCGACAGCGGAGACGAGGTGGACGTGGTGTACACCAGCCGGGGGGGGTCGGTGTACAGACGCTACAGCTTCATTCATGAACAAGACACCGACGCCGACCAGGATGTGGATGAAAACACTTGTCTCAGCCAGTCTTAGATTAAAAAAAAAGAAAACAATTGTACAGAAGTTGAATGTATTTTTAATGTTTAGTATCAAGACTGATGGGGAATTCCAAGTAGGCTAGTTCATAGCATGTTTAAAGGAAGTGGTAGTGGCTCTTTGCTTTTCTATGCTTTGAAGTCGATGTGTATATTTTTATTCTACAAAGTGCCTGTGTTTGTAAAATGCACATTGCTAGATGGTCAGTGACGGAAAATTCCTGCACTTATTTATGGGAATATATTCATATACATCTATTCTTTTTTTAAACTCGAATTTAAAAGGGCGTTTGTGAAACTGTAGATTATTCTATCAGTGAAGTGAAATCTGCATGATTTGTTGTAAAACAAACACAATCAAAATAAATTGTTTGTAATTACTGCCTTCATTAATAAATACACGTATTCATACTGTAATTTCTTTCCAGATATAACAGACAATTAGATTAGGTTTGATTTGACGGACAGGGTTCTGACGTTTGGCCTTCACCAGGATACATGTTAGTCAGATCCTACTTTAGAAGGGTTGGGAATGATACAAGACCCTATTTACACACCGAAGTCCGACACACCTCCGCAGGTGGGTGACTTGGTTTGCTTTAAGAGACGATGCACGGTATCTTCCTGGTCAAAGAATAAACCGCAGTGAAGACCAGTTCACCTGTGCTGGTCTCACCCCAAGCAAAGGAATGACGTATCAAATGTTTAGGAAGGGAAGGATATGGAAGATTGTCCTTTTCATTCTCGTGGGTATGTTCTTCTCTTTTGTTTATTGGAAATTGGCTCCTAAGAGACTGTCACGTGTCAATACTCTCCAGCAGTTCTCCAGTGACCTGCCCGGTTGTCTGGCTGTCATCAGGGGGAGTGTGGAGGACAAGACGTCAAGGGACTTTGAAGCGCTCCTTGCAACCAGAACAAAACAGGCTCTTTTTTCCGAGGAATTCTACCTCAATGAAACAAAGGACTGTCACGGCTACATTAAAAGAAGAGGTTTCATTACAGTGCCTCTTAGTGATGAAGAGAATCAGTTTCCTATTGCATACTCAATGGTGATCCATGAAAAGATTGAGATGTTTGAACGACTCCTGCGAGCTGTGTATACCCCTCAGAATACTTACTGTGTACACGTGGATCAGAAATCTCCCTCGAAATTTAAGAGAGCTGTGGAGGGAATTGTATCCTGCTTTCCAAACGTATTCATAGCCAGTAAACTAGAGACAGTGACATACGCCTCATGGTCCAGAGTACAGGCAGATCTGAACTGCATGAAGGATCTGCTGACATCTCCGGTCCACTGGAAGTACCTTCTCAATACCTGCGGGACAGATTTTCCCATCAAAACAAACAGAGAGATTGTGAGGACCCTGAAAGTTCTCAATGGGAGAAACAGTATGGAATCAGAAACCACTCCTGAGCACAAGAAGCTCCGCTGGCAGTTCCATTACAACGTCACTGGCTCCGTCGTCAATTCAGGTATCAAGAAGACGCCGCCACCCATAAGCAGCCCCATGTTCTCTGGAAACGCCTACTTTGTGGTCACTAGAGCCTTTGTGAAGCATCTGATGGAGGACACAGTGGCGCAACATTTTCTGGAGTGGGAGAAGGACACATACAGCCCAGACGAGCACCTGTGGGCCACTCTACAGAGAATGCCAAACGTTCCAGGATCGTTGCCGGCTGATAGCAAGTACCAGACGTCTGACATGCAGGCTTTCGCTCGGGCTGTGAAGTGGAGTTATTTGGAGGGGGACGTGAACAAAGGGGCCCCGTACAACCGGTGCACGGGGTCCCACAGAAGGGCCGTCTGCGTGTATGGAGCTGGTGACCTCTCCTGGCTCCTGAGACAACAGCACCTCCTTGCAAACAAGTTTGATCCAGGAATTGATGATATTGCCATCCGATGTCTGGAGTCAGTGCTGCATTTCAAAGCTTTAGGCCACGACCCGCTGTGGACTCAAGATTCCGAGTTTTTGTTCATGTGAAATATTCTGTTAGAATTGGGCTTTAGTTATTGACTTCAGCATTGCATGCTATAGCATAATCCATGTAGATAACTGATACTTTTATTTGTTTTAGAACAATACTTTTGTGTAAATTCTCTGGCTGTAACCACAGATTCTCTTTTCTCTCTCTGTTGCATTAGAGCCACACCTTTAGGTCAACATACGTACACACACTTCCAATGTTATATGCATGAATTAGGAGCTGGCCTGTCCACGTCAGAAGTAACTGGCCAATAAGCACGCAATTGTTTCCAGTCCCTCCTTTTGAAGGGCGGGTCCAGCCCAGGAGACAAATATCCAGAACACATGGAGCTCGGGGTTCTTGGCTGCTGAGACACTGAGGGAGAGCCCAGCGATGATTACTTTAACTTTGTCAAATAAATGTCATTTTTGTACTCTTGATCTACTCTGGTTTAATCTCCGGTTTCCAACTAAAGATTCGGGTTTACAATTCTTCCTTTTATGCAGCAGAAAACTGTGAATTTCTTTCTTACTACTATTGATACATTTTTGTCGTTGCCATTGACAGATAAGATCTCCTGTAATTGTATTATTTGAATTTTTCTATAGTCTCTGAGATTTCTCTTTATTTATTAACAGGACCCCCCATAATGTGGAGGGAATCGTGACAAGACCTATTTTCTTGATTGAGATTGTTTCAGACTGCTTTCATAGAGGTTCACCTTTCAACAGTCAGATGGCAAATTCAAGCGAGGGGCAACAAAATAAAGCTTTATTTTCCCCCGGGCAGGATTTCAGAGAACATCGGCAGTGAACAGTGAAAAAGGTGCTGTCAAGACTTTTTCAGTGAAATGCCACTCAGTGGGTCAATGACCTAAAAGGCAGTTTAAAATCGGATCATAAAAATATATTAATTTCTCTCCTTTGACACCTGTTGAATATAAATATATATATTTTAAATGTAATAAAGCAGAACATGCATCAACCACTTGTAACAGAGTGCGTTAAATAAAGTGTAGATACAACAGTTATGAAAGTACACCAAAAAGCCAAGTGTGCCTCGATGTTCAGGAGTAAATAAAAAGGATTAAAAACATTCAAGACAGCATCGTGGACAGATTGATGAGGCTTTAGCCGCTCGGCACAAAAATACAGCGAAGGAAGTTTGACCATGTAACAGGCAGCAACAGTTTCAAAAAGGCGCGTCCCTGATGCCGCGGTGGCATTGGCCACATCATTAACACCCGAGCGTTCTCCATGGTTCTCGTCCAGGGCCTGCTGTGAGGGCGCGTCACTCTGGAACAGCGGCAGCAGCCACCTCCACCTTGCCGTTCACGTCCTGGTCGATCCTGCAGACACAGGCAGCCGTCAGGACGCGGATGGCACTGGAGCACTCAGTCCGTGCACACAGGCAGGATCAGATAACTACACCGAGCACCAACGTGCACTTTAAAGTGTGATCACACCCTGATAGTCTATAGTTCCCTTCGCAGGAATTAGGCTATACACGGAAGGTAAACATTTTGGGATCTAACCAGCCCCACTTTGCCTAATACCAGCTGTTAAAGACAAGCAGGTTTATTCACAAGCTTTTTCACAACTCTTAACAATACCTGTTAAGGATCTGGACCTTTACTGTTCTTACAGGCAGCAGGCCAGCAGCAGGTTTTTCTCTTCCTTGTGGTAAGGTCTATTGAACAGCCTTATTTATCAATTAATTCCATTTAATTGTACTAATTGTACAAATTTGTCCTGAAGTGTTTAATTTAGAATCTGCAATCTGAATGGCGGGTTTAATGAACTGGTTCTGCTAATTTGTTGCTGGACCCATGGCACCTGAGAACACAAAAGAATCAACCTTCCCTGCAGCCCAGCGGGTCCTCTAAAATCTTGTGATCGAAAGATATTTCTAGTAGAACGGCTAATTATTCATCACAACAAGCATCCATTCAGTCCTCATCAGTAAGGAGCGTATTTCTGTGTGTGAGTAAAGCTGACAGACGTCTTCTGCAATTGCCAAACATTGGTGGGTAGAATCGGTGCAGTGAGTTAGGCAAAGAGCTGTGAGAGTGAACAAGCTGGGTGTTCAGGGCAGCTCAGCCGCGTGAGGACATGGTTAATGTGCAACCACACACCACAGTGACGAGGACAAAACTACTTCCATGTACTGTAGTTCCATCCTATTTAGTCAAACAAATGTGAAAAACATAAAACACCGACAACATTGCATCTTAAACCCGTGTCTTACATGGCATGTCAGTAAGTACAACATCAGGCCGAAGCTTTCATGACTTTCAGATTGGTTGGTGAAAGTCTTGGTGACATCTAGAATCATGGAGAGGGGAACGTTTTCCCTCCACACAGTAAATTTCAAAGTTTAAGAAGTGCAAAATGTACTGATCGGCAAAATCATTTAAGACAGTAAAGGATCAAAGATATCAAAGGACTGGCTCAGAAAAGAAACTTAAGTTAGTTTTAAAAGGATCATGTGATCACCAAGTCACCTATTTCTGTCAAACAAAACACAATTAAGTCTGTATTTGGACTCTAAGTCCTAAAGGATTTGACTTTGCTGGACGAAATAGTCAATTTTCATTCAACTGTACCAATAAGTTAGAAAATAGGTGTCTTGGTGCATTTCTTTAAGTCACCCGATCATTTAACTGTTAGTTTTACAAAGCAAACAGAAAAAAAGGCGTAAGATGCAGACACTGACCCTTGGTGAAAGAGTGTATACCTTTTACGGCTTTTCCTATTTTTTTCGTCGTCAAACCTTGAGAAGGGGCAGGGAAAGTGGTTTCAGCAGAGGAAAACACACAGCCAACAGCAACCACAAAACCAAAAGAGCAGAATGGTTGGGGGAGGTTTTGTGAAAGGTTTCCAAACACAGTGACAACAAAATGTTAAACCAGGAAAAGGAGGGAGACGGCATGAACAACTCCACAGCAGGAGGTCGACGGTTCAGCTTCTCAGTAAAGGCCAACACTGGTAAAAGTAGACAGTTTTTATGCTTACTTAAGCTTAACCCCATATTCCCATGTATTAAGGTTAAAATTATTGGAAAACAAAACACAGACAGACATAAATAGAGGGTAGACTGATCAGCCACTGTGGTGGCAGCGGAGTGAGGGTACACATTCTCCTGGACAGTGGTCAGTTCGGCTGAACTATCAGACATTCTTTCTGATTCTCCAAAGTGGAGGGCTTTGACTTTCAACCACTACAGGCAAAATATCATCTGCTCAAACATTGAACATCTTTTCAGTGTCAGTATTATATGAGGCACTAAACCAAAGTCCGCCCACGGCCTTCATGTTCCATTCAGACTTATGCAAACACCGCCGTAACGTCACACATCAAAACACAGTGCTGCTGTGTTAACATACTTACTGTTTGATACAATCTGGTATGGACACGTACTCCATTGGAACGAGCTCAGCGAGGTCTGTCAGGCTGTACACAAACTTGATTTTCTGACTAAATTTGGAGCTGTTAAAGGAAGCCAGACAATAAAGATCAAGAACCAAAATCATCGTGCTCTGGATATTTGTCCCCATGACTTTATAAGTTACAGTTACCTTATGAAAGGCTTTGTGATAGCCAGCAGTGTGCGAATAAACCATGAGGGGTGCACTATTATTAAAGACTTTAAGTTCTTCCGTAACCTGTACAAAGAGAAGGTCAACATGCCGTCAGCCGTTGGAAATGGGCCAATGCATTTGGAGTAAAAACTGATGATTGCGAGAGTTTTGACCATAAACTCACCTCCTATCAATCTGCTGATAACATTTTCGGAGCCAGCCGACGGTTGGCATCTTTTTCCGAGAAGTAGCCCCGTTTAAATACACAATCATATAGTTCTCGGCAACCAGGAGCTCCAGTGTGCCAATGACATACCTACGACATGACAGTCTCCATTAATGATGGCTCCGCCGTGCGAGGGCCAAAACAATTTAGACAGACTCACTTGAATAAATTGTCCATGATGTATCTGTAATTTGGTTGACTGCTCTCAGGCATAAAGCACACAGCAAACACAATTATGGCATTTAAACCATCTCCATAGTAACCTGTGGGGGAAAAAAATGTTTTAAACAATTTTCTCTTCATGATGATCCAGGAAATAAGACATTTTCTTTGCCGTACTTTTGTGTGCTCTAAATAATGGCACTGACCTCCGTGACTGATAACTTTCTTGTAAGGCTCAATGGCCTTCATATCCACCCTGTGATCCTGGTCTCCGATGTGAAACATCCTCCAGCGTCGACCCTCATCCCTCTCATCCGAGGCTGAATATTCCTGCACCGACTCCACCCCTTTCTGTAGCAGCTCTGTGGTTTTCGGTTTAGGGAGGTCATCTGAAGAAGAAAAGGCGCTTTAAAATCAGCAGCCTGAACTCTGTGTTGTGATCCCGACCAGATCAAAGTTTCCGATCAGGCTGTTATTTGCATTTTCACTTTTCAAAATTGCCTGTTTGGGGCAGTTTATTGGCTTGATTGTTTTGCTTGTTGACAGCATGCTCTTTTCTCTGATTCTATACCAACATTTACATCTCCGATACCATGTGTGCCTGTCAGCGCAAAACAGAAGAAGAAAAGAATTGGAACTGTGCTGCAGGCCTGCCAAGGCACAGCATACAGAGAGACATGTAACGTTAACAAAAAACATTCACACAAACGACACTCTGGTGATTCCCGGGGAATTGAATTCTTTTGAAAACGTGTAGAAATCATCACAAACAGCGAGCATGCAACAAGCAGAATCAAACTGAATTGAACAGTGGAACCAAATCTCACCAACACGCATTCACGTCTTTCTATAACCAGCCAGTTTACTAAATAAATCATATAAATGATGGCACGCTTTCCTGTCAGGTACTTATGCACTGCACAACTGCTTATTATTGATTAAATTATCCGCAAAATAAAGCCAACAAAGAACCAACCGTGTGTCTAAATCACTCTGGGATTAACGTGTGCTGACGGATTGTTACAGAGTCACATCACTGTATAATGCATGTACTGTATAATGTGATGTTTGGACGGCTGGTGTAATGATCCACTGCCATCCCAAATAAAGGAAGATGAAAAAAAAAAAAAAAAAAAAAAAAAAAAATGGGGGGGAAAAAGTTGGAAACGACACATGATCGGGAAAGTAGGAGCTGATTGAGCTGTGGTATGCAGAAAATTAAATGGAATTAATTGATAAATAAGGCTGTTCAATAGACCTTACCACAAGGAAGAGAAAAACCTGCTGCTGGCCTGCTGCCTGTTTCCGGGCAGAAAAAGGAAACAATGCTTCCAAGAGGAAAAAAAGAAGGCAGCAGAGTGGAAACACAAAAAACAACAAAGAGTATTTTAACCATAAGTAGACAGTGGGTCTCCAACATAAACCTGCAATATCTAGGATGGATACAAGAACCGACACGCTTCTCTTCCAAAAGCCAAACATTCACCCCATCCTGTATCTATGGTAAATAGGTGCAATGTGAACCTTTCTTTGAAGTTAAACTAAGCCTGATAAAGCTATCTAAATACACTGTCTTAACATGGCAAGCTTGAACAAACAGGGTCTCCCGCTGAAGCTGAGCTGTCGGCACTGTTTTCACATGAAATGAATCCCTTACCTTCCCATTCAAACTCGTTGCTGTTGTCAGAGGGTGTGTCTATGCCATCCAGGTCCAGCTCCGTACTTTCATCCAGCTCATCAGAGAGAACAGAGCCTTCGCTGTGGTCTAATGTGAGGCTGATTTCCGGAGCAGCAAGTTTTTTCTTCACTTTTTTGCCATGGTTCTCTGAATACCCTGGGGCAGGTGGCATGATGGATAAAAGTTATACAGGCTGTGGGAACCATTTAAGGGTAGATGCATTTTTTCAAGTAAGTCATAAACAGTCAAGAAATCGTTCTCTAATCGTTTTCTCTAATTAATGTAATAAAAAGAAATTTAAAAAGAAGTTATGGACCAAATGTGGGTGTTTGTAGGAACAAAAGTCTTACAGGAAGCCTCAGGGGTCCGAGTCACATCAATTAAATGCCACAAACAAAACAGTTTCTGAGAAGGTTGGAACTAATGACTAAACTGCCTAAGAGTGCCAAGTCTTCACATTAGTTTCAGCTGAACTTTAGATGGTTGAAACTGGGACAAAGAAGACTAAAGATAACAAATGTTATTTTTAAAAAAGGTACGATCATGTGCGTTTTGAGATGAAACAGATAAAGGAATATATGAAGAGGTTCTGCCCTCTTGTCAGTCCCTGCAGGAATGAAAGGTGTAATTCTGGGTGGCGGTGTGATTACCGGGGTCCTGCACCTCTGAAGTTCCTGCAAAAAGATCATCTTCAAGCTCCTCTTCCTCTGGGAGGGGTCTAATATTTAAAAAGAGGGCAGTCGCACCTTCAGTATGTGTGATTCAGGAACACAAAGCGGTTTGGCAAAGCAACAATGAATGTGCGACACAATACCGGGGAAAATCCTCATCCTGCCACTCCTCCTTCAGTTCCACTCCTTCCATTCTTAAACGGGCCTCTGTGGTGGCCACGGATTCCTGCCGCTCCAGGCTGGAAAAGAAGGTCCACAAAATGTAAACATTTTGTCATTAATTGCATTTAAAGCTGAAAATGTTCTACTGCAGTGCAGTCGTTTTAAAAATGAATTCCACAATGAAGGTAATCTGTCAGCGCTAGATTAGAGGTCCTCTTGTCCCCGCACTAAGTACCTGGGGAGTCTGACTGCTTCAGTTATACAAGTTACATTTCGTGATGTAGGCCATCAGATACCGACTTTTAGTACAACCTTCTGTCCCCAAAGAGTTTACTGAAATCTTTACGGTAACACCAACTGTGGAAGAGATGAAATCTGAAAATCCATCACAAAATAACAGCAGAGGTTTGTTCTTATTTCTTGCATTACTACACACTATCTCTACACACATCATTTATGTACCTTTTAGTGAGGGGTATGGTACATGACCGGTTTCATCTGGTTAGCCAACATCAGTCTCAGCTCACAGTCTCAATTTCATATTTCAGCTGTAAACATATTCAACACTTTGTCTTATAGTTCAGACACACAGCCACTGTTCAGAGACTTTCTATATTTAATTGGTAGAAAGTCATAGAGGGCCTTTATGTTCGGGAATGGAATGGATGGGGCTTCTAACCATCACAGCAAATTGTGACATATAATCATTAGATAATATTACATCAAATTTCACACAGAAAGTTGCAGCTATAGAACAGATGTTGTGCGCTACCAATCATTTCACAGGGAAACACACACTCCCATGTACAGGAATCCCCTCAGGAGTTTCAGCTTGAAACTGGCCTCATAATCAGGTCGCTAGCTTTTTGAAAAGCTTACAAGCTTAGTTAATAAAGCACAAGACTACTAGCTACTGGTGGCCATGGTATCTGTATCGCTGCAACACAGAGCTCCCTTTGATGCTTTAATACACAACCATTTGTGCTTCCACATAGACACTGTGCACATGATGTGTTCAACATTTCCTAGTAAATCAGTTTAGCCGTCTGTTTAGGCATATCCCTAATCCCAACATAGCAGATGGAATCCAACTACAACAGGATTGTGTTTCCTGGAAAGAAAGAAATTCAAAATGTGCGGGCTAAATAAGTGGAATTAACCATATTAGGAAGTAAATTGGAAAAGACAAATAAGAACTGAAATACTGTACCAACTTAATACTGTCCTTAATGAAGGGCCAGATTTGATATGGATCAAAGGTGGCCAGTTTGAAGCTGGTTACCAGTTCAATTCCAGTTCGACCTATTCCAATATATTGTTCCAATTTTCAATGTGAAGGAACATTTTGCTAAGATATCCAAGTTGATAAAAAGAGATGTTTAATAGATTGTGTGTCTTGTGTGTACCTTGTGTGTTGTAGCAGAAACTTCTGCCTGTTGCATCTAAATGCAGGGCTTTTTTCCCAGCTACTCTTTGAGAATATTGGATTTCACAAAGTTATCATACAATTTGAATTGAAGACACTAAATGAAAGCCTCTTAACAGAAGCCCTGTTCATAGAGCCATTTGGTTTCATGACAAAACACAAGCCAGTGGGTAATTACTGGAGAATGGGTGTGTTGATTTCTACAGTTTTCAACAGCAGTTACTCAAAGCTGTGACGAATCCCCTGATGTTATGGTCCTGAAGTGTACTGAATAACGTTAAGACTCGTTTTGTCTGTGTAGGGGCAAGTCTAAATCCAACCCAACACACTGCCTGGCCTCCTGATCAACATACAAACAGCAGAGGCAAAAGGGCGGAGGAGGTTCCATCTTTACTGTCCACTGGCTGTAGATTTAGAACGAAGAAAACGTGTCATGCTGAGAAGAAAGTATCGTCAGGGGAGATGGGTACTGGTTGTCATCTTTGTGAAAGAAAAATGTAGACGCAAAAAACATATTTTCTAACATACAATGCGAAGGCAATAATTAAGCAAAGGCATACATCAGTATACCAAAAAGAGTAAAACAGAGAAGGAAACACTTCTGCAATAAAGATAAAGATTAAACAAATTTTAAAAAGTGAGGCCGCAAACAAAGCAGAAGTCGATCTAATAGGTCGTAGTTTGGACTCCCATCCTTTTTTTAGGGAGGGAATATGGTCGTTTACATCAATCCAGGTTACATGGAAGAGCCGAGGTAGGCAGGAAGGAAGTGACTCCTTAGGTCTTTAAAATCTTTATACTGGAATAACTGTTCACTGCTTTGGTGTATTTAGCTCTTTTTTACTTGGGTTTTGCATGGATTTGCATGTTACAGACTTTGCCTTGTAATCTAAAACTATTCTGAGAGTGCACACCCTGAAAATAACAGCTTCTCAACATTATTCAAAAAACACATCACCAGCTATTTCTGTACTTTCAGAAAAAGTAAAGATTAGATAGTGAAGTTGAAAGGACCTACAAGACCTTTGCTGGCAATCGTGTGGAACAATCTCAGGCCTGTCAAACAACTTTCTGATAATCCAGATCACTTAGAAGGATAAAGGCGTTTGTGTGTCAGAGAGCTGCTTGGCGTTTGGGAAAACAGAGTGATAGCAATATAGAAATCAGACAATAACATACAGCCCAAATACTGACCTCCCGACGGGTCCTGGTGGTGAGCGGGGCTGGGGAAGGCTGACCGGGGTCGAGCTTCCTCCTCTCGCCTGCTTCGGCACATTGTCCGGAGCGCTCTTCGCCTCGGGCGTGCTTCTTGTTTTTGTTAGACCTTCTTCGAATGCCTCTTCGCCATTTTCGACGGTGGAAGCCGTGCTACTCTGCAACTCGTTTGAGTCCTCCTCGTCACCCTCTCCAGACACTCCGGAAGACGAGGGGCTAGGAGTTTGTCTGTCCCCCAGGTCTCCGTGAGTCCTGCTGGGTGTGACAAAATCTATGCCGCTATTGTTTAAACTCATCTCACTCACACCCTTCAACGCCGCTTCACTCTCTAGCACATCCGATGCCATCTGTTTATGCCCCCGCTCGCCTCTGCTGCTAAGCCGGGTTCGATAAGGAGTGCTTTGGGGGGCAAAAAATCCGACCTGTCTGATCTCTAGGTCGGACTGACAACTTTTTTTGGAAGTTTGCAGCTAACGGGCTAACTCCGGCTAGTTCTACGGCTAACCCGGGGACAAAATGCTAACGCCTAGCTCTGCGCCCTGACAACATATGTAATTAGTCAAACGGTGTCAAATGTCACACAGGGTACTTGGATTTAGTCACCTTTTCTAAATGCGTCACAGTGTGAAGTTGAGAAGCCAAAAAAGAGCGAGCACGAGCTACGGTGCGCAGTGATCCCACTTATCAGTTTCCTTCCTTCCTCCAAGTCACAGCGCTCTCCTCACACACGGACGTAACAGACGTTAGTCACGCTAGCTGTTCGGCTACTGTGGGCTAACGTAGCCAGTGGCTACTGCTAATGAAAAAACTACGTTGTCCACCTCACGCCCGCTGTTAACCCGAGAGTCCGGCTACCCGTCCGCTACCATACGACACTGTGACCCTCATGCAGTGCATCCATCTTTGACATATAGTCAACGCGAGTTTATTGACCCGAACAAAGTTCCTGACATCCCTCCGCGCCGCGTGCCGGTTGAGCCCGTGGACGTTTAGTGAAACACCCCCCCCCCCAAACACTAACCCCCAGTCCGAGGGCTCAAATGTGGAAAAGCGCCCCGGGCAGTCTGAAAACGACACAAACACAACACCGTCCACGTACCGTCCACTCGAGTGCTTATTGTGAGAATGCTCACATTGAGATCCATTTTCTATTTTGGGTAATTGTTTCTGCCTCTAACCTATTCCTTCTAAAAAAAAAATCCGTCCGTTTTTTAGATATGCTCATGCTTTTTTTGCTAATTTCTGTCTTTAGAATGGGACGGGATGTTGGAGCGCAGGTGACAGGAGTGGAAAAAGTCAGGGAAATTCTTCAGGAAGTCATTTTTGAAACTTTCACTGCGTCCACAATATTCAACTGTCACAAATAAATGTAACAGAAAACATTAGAAAAATCTCTCTCATCTTATCTTTTATTCTATTCTATTCTCTAGCTTTTGGGGGTTTATGAGCTGTCTCTCTTGGCAAGGAAACTTATAACTATCTAAATATCCAGATTTTCTTTCTGATTCAACGGAAGAAAATTAAACCAGTCTGAATGAAATCTTACATTTGTTGTATAAGTGGTATCGATATCTAACTGAAATACTTTTTATTTTGCACCTGTTACCTCAAATACACCACTACTGTAACAGTTAAGGACAAAATATTTTAACTCCAATAAATATCACTCAGTTCATCCTTGTTTAAAATCCTTGCATCACCTATGTCTTAATGCCCTGAATATCAGTAATGTCAGTAATGTGGATTGTGAGGTGATTTTCCTCAGTTGCGTTCATCCCCTCAGTGACTGAGCTTTTCCACTAGGTGGAGGCAGAAGCTCACTAAAGTACTGGAGTCTTTGGAAAAGCCTTAAACTGAACATAATCTGGCACAACCCCGGAGAGAAAAAAAAAGGTTGTGTGTTTCGGGAAATCCAATATTATACAAAAGTACAAATATTAACATAAGAGTGAGCTTTTCAAATTTGAAAATATATAAGAGATGAAAGGCTGCTCTGTTTTATTTATAATCCAGAATAAAATTTCAGTGTAATTATCAAAATTACATGCTGTGACGGCTAGATCAAATTTTTAATCTATCATCTTTTTACCCAAACAGGAAAAAAAATCCATGATACTTTGTTCCTACTGTTTTTGAAAAAAAATTAGACACGATTACAAAAAGAAAAGCAAATACAGCTGTACATCTAATTTGATAATTTTGTCTGGTTAAGGCTTTCTCTGTGTGGAGTGGATTACTCAGTTTAATTTCTAATTAACACACTGCTATTTACTCTCCTGGATCATTAGGCCTCATCACAAAGGGATAATCCAGGGAAATTGAGAGTTTTTGCTTTCTTTCCACTTTCCATTCTGGCAGCATATGCTAATGAGTCACGAGTCATGTTGAACTTATCAAATTAAGACAGATGTTGACACTTAAAAAAAAAAATCTATTTAGCTTGGATATATCCCTAGCATCTGATATTAGTTCAAATAAAACATATCCAAACTGTTATGGAATAAAATGCATTCAATTAGAAATATCGAGTAAAAAGAAATAGAAATATTAAGTACATATTTAGAAAATTACCCCATTTGACTAGACAGAAGCTCATTTTGTTTTATTTTCTTACTTTCTTTTTGTTCATAATAGAACCAGTCCTCAATATACAACTAAATATGGAACAACAGGGATTGATGCATGTAAAGAAACAATAACAGAGTTGGCTAAATCTATTAAAGCTGAAGCATCATAATATAATTCAGGGTATATCAGGTTCATTTCTCCTTATAAAAGTATGTTGAGCAGACCTCTCTGTTCATCATGAAAAGCGGGAATGTAAGGATCAGAAACAGAGGCAGTATCCTATTTGTGAAGCAGAATTCTTAAAAAGATTTTCCAACCAATTTCCATAAATGGGATGGTGGGAAGTATTTAGGCTACCCGAAGTATATCACTAATGAGAAAAGACAAAAAGGATTCATGTGCATGTTTTATGCAATCCCTTTTTGGGTGTAGATGTATAATTATTTATGATTGCAAAGCCTAAAAGGGAGGCAAGAAGATAGCAACTGCAAAGAGACTGGTGAAAAATTTAGAGAGGAAGTTAAATGAATATTTAAGGGAAGATGAAATATTTAATGGAAACAAATGAGCAAAACATTTAAAACAGCATTATGAATAATAGTAGTGAGTGCCATTAAATTGGCCCTAATAATTTGTGCTGGTTGCTGCGGTAGCCGGAAGGTCTCGCTCATACTTGTACTGGTAGGAATCGAGGACTGCAACGATTGTTTTCACCGTGCCACTCATGAAATGAGGACACTGAGTCTGTAACCCAGAGCTAACCTCCTAACTCCGAAATATTAGCATTTCATTCATTGTAGTTTGTAGATACCAGTGGCAGAAACAATTCCTGTTTTACTGACCTTCTTCACATCGAGGTCAGCAATCTTAAGAGACCATGATGATGTAAAGCCTGTGTCAGGTAATTTATGAGACATTCGGACATAAGGAGCTGCCTTCTGGTATTATAGTCTGACACTCTGAAGTATGAAGCATTTTGTGTATTTTCACCTAATAGAGAAGCAGAACTGAAACATGTACCAACACACATTCATTTGTTTTCCAAATGTGAAAATAATTAAACCAGCAAACAAATAATTATTCAAGTCAATGGGAACAATTATCTCAAAGATGCCTCTGAGACTTGGATGCGCATACTGAATTGATTAATTATCCTGGTGAAGATAATTGAATGGAGTCAGATCTTTTGACTACATCCACTGAACGTATCGCTGCCTCCTATCTGAGCCAGAACAACATTCAAACTATTTAGTAATAATAATCATGATAGTTTAATATATTTTTTACAGCGTATTCTAATTTATATTTTTAGGAGAAAAAAAGATATTGATTGCAACTGTATTGGCATTCTGATCATGACTCATTGGTAGGAGTTCAGCTTTGTCAGTGGCCCTGTGTCATAACCTCTCTAACCTGTGAGCAGACTATTACTTACCTTTGAGCCAGACAAAGATCATTACCTCGGTGAATGATGGCAAGGCAGCCGGAGCGCAGCAGCTTTATTTCCCAGCTCAGCTCAGAGGATGCAAGCCATCACATTCTGTTAACAATTCCATGGCTCCCCCTATAAAGATAAGCTCTCTCAATCAGCCCCGTCTGACTCAATCGCCACCGAGGGACCATAAGTCATCACAACCCAGGAACAGAGCCCTCTTTATTCACATGTGATTGACACCATTTAGATGATTCAGCCAGAATCACTGGGCTGTTTATTTTCCTCAGTGGACCACTGTTTTCTGATTATCGGGGTTCATTAAATATTTATTTTTGATATCAGCATATTCATGCTCGTACAAGCAGCTTTTTTTTCTTTTTTTTACTTTGAGCAAATAGTGGGCCATTTCATGTGGAATCTTACCAAGATGAATGAAGTCAAAGGCTATGACATTTTAATCAGAGTGAACATTAGAAGCCAATTGTCACTGCCAAACCACATGAAGGTCATCTCATTTACTAAGAGTTAGCGTGCTGTAACATTTAAGCCGTACATCCTAATAATTGGTTTACATGTGAGATACGGTTAATATTTTATGTATAAGCACACATTCTATTCAAGGCCTTTTATTCTATTAACCTGTCTTGTCTTTATCAGATCCTTTCTAATATAATTCCCATATGGCTTAGCCTTTGATAAATATGCTTTTAGGTGTACCTAATTAATGCATTCCGCTCTGATTTTCCTCACTTGTCACCCACTCTTTAACCTCACAGCGAAAGAAGAGACTTTTCCTACTCAAATTAAAAGTCCTCTGAGACGCTGCACATGTGTGAACTAATGATGTAGTGATCTGAACAGCCTGATATCTTATCTTGAGGGCCTTGTTGAAATGTTTTCAGTAAAAATGAATAGCATGACCTCAGTATCATGGAGTGTGGATATATTCCAAGCAAACATATTTTAGTTTATTGTGCCGGAATTAATTGATAATTCTGATATTTTTCTGTTTGATTATCTCACAGGGGTTTTAATAGCAGTCTGGTTTTTATTTATTATGCACTTATTTGCTTTGTGAGTAGATGACCTGTATTGTAGGTAAATGTAGTGTCAGTTGCCACATTAAACCTGATTGTGTTTGATGATTTATATGGAAATCTTAATAAGTTGCATAATATGTCTTTTGGATTCATTAAGATTCACACAGGCACAAACTAGTGAAGAAATAAAAGTGTTGAGCCAGCATTTCAGTAGGGCCAAAGGAGAGTATACCTCAGCTACACCTCAACTAACAAATTCACAATTTACAGAAAGACTAAAGCAATTCAGCATCTTAAAATGAATGACTTAGAATGTCCCTTTATGTCCAGTTGTACAGTATTTTCCTGATCTGTGTCCAAGGGACCATTCATTGCTATAATGAATGGGATAAGACGATGATCAGCAGACTAGACTTAATTTTTATCACAAAATTTGCTTGGAAAGACAAAGACCAGCTGCACTCCTGAGTTCATATCAATGCATCCCCTTAAAGAGAAAATTATATATTATCTGAGAACACTCCATGCTAATGGAATTTGAATTATTCAGTTGCCATCTGTTACAGAAAAATGTTATTGGTGGGATGGATGAAGATATTTACTGTAGGGTTTGCTATCTGCTTTAAGTCATAGGGTGATGTGTTGGAAGGCAGAGCACTCATAAATGGTAAACACTGTGTTTTATGTATTTTGGGGAAAATGGGTCAGGCTGAAATAGTTCAATGTGTTGTACAGTCAATAAAACTGTGGAAGAAAAATCTAATATAAGAAAAATCTAACATATAAATGACCATTTTGTTTGACGGTTGAATTATTGAGAAAAAGTGTCAAGACTGATGACTTTGTCTGAACCCAGCAGGCCACGACGAATGATTTCCATAAACAAAGAACATATATTTTCAGAGGTGTAGCTTTAGCGCTCTTACATATCATAACTGACATGTTTATTGGAGGATTATAGA